AGATAACTGGTAAACCGCAGAATCCATGCAATACAACTACCCCTTTCCTTTTCCCCCCGTTCTGTGTTGCAGCCTTTCATGATACCTCTTGACCAATCCAGGGGCGGATACATCCTCCCTCGGTACCCAGGAGGCCTCGGACAAGGGATACCCCTTCCATACGACCAGGTAATACAGTCTTCCTCCCCGTAGCCGTGAGTCGACTATGTCCTCTATTTCATACCGTCCTGGGGTGACAGGACCTGGGGGTTGGCCACGGGGGACTCTCCCTACGGGCTTCAATAAACTTACGTGGAATGTCGGGTGTATTTTACCTAGTAGTTTTGGCAATGCGAGCTTCACCGTTACAGGGTTGATGATCTGCACTATGCGGAAGGGGCCAATATATTTCGGTGCTAGTTTCTTGCATGGGACCTGTAACTTAATATATTTGGTGGACAAATATACGCTATCCCCCACCCGTAATTGGACTGGTTGTCGACGACCCTTATCAGCGTGGTACTTAGTCGCCTGTGTTGCCTGGCCCAGCGCCTGTTTCACCTTATTCCATACCTGGCCCGCTCGAGCAAGCCAATCATCTGATCGCTGTAAAAGGGGTTCCGAGGACATACATCCGGGCACGGAGACCATGTCATGTCCATAAACAACCTGAAAGGGGGTCAACCCGGTGCTTTTATGTACCGCGTTGTTATATGCTAACTCTGCAAACGGTACAAAGTCCACCCAATCCGACTGTTGGTAGGATACATAGCAGCGTAGGTACCGCTCGATGGCTGCATTTGCCCGTTCCGCCGCCCCATTGGTGCAAGGGTGGTATGCCGAGCTTAGTCCTTGTGTGGTCCCGATGCTGGCTAAAAAGCTGCGCCAGAAACGGGCCGTGAATTGCACACCACGGTCCGAAATAACCCGGCGGGGCGCCCCGTGTAGTCTGTAAATATGTTGCACAAACATTTTTGCTAACTTTCTCGCCGAGGGTAGACCCTTGCAGGGGATAAAGTGGGCCTGCTTCGAAAATAGGTCGACCACTGTCCAAATAACCGTGTAGCCTCTCACATTTGGCAGGTCCACAATGAAGTCCATCCCGATATCCTGCCACGGCCGGTTCGGGTCAGATACCTGCTGCAGTAATCCCATTGGCTTTTTTGGTATTGTTTTTGCTTGTGCGCATATGTGACACCTTTTGACATACTCTTCAATGTCTTTCCTCATCCCTGGCCACCAGAACTGTTGTCTCACTAAATGCAATGTCTTTACAAAACCGAAATGGCCAGCTAACTTTGAGTCATGGCACCTATGATATACTCGGTTCCTTAGTCCCTGTGGAATATACAGCTTATCCCCATGCCAGGCTAGGTCATCACGACGACTTAAGACTCCGGGGTTAGCTAAGATCCAGGGATCTGTTAACAAGGCCGATCTCAGCTCATCCTCGAAGGTTACCAAATGTGCACTCACCTCAGGTTGTGTGGAACCCGGACTTTCTGGAGGTATGATAGCGTGAATCACCTGCTCTCTCCTGCTATTATACTGCGGTAGCCTAGACAATGCGTCTGCTAGGAAGTTCTTTCCTCCCGGAACGACCTTTAGATGGAACCTGAACCGTTGGAAGTATTGCGCCCATCGGACGTGTTTGGGTGCCAATCTTCTTGGAGTTTGGAGGACCGTGAGGTTCTGGTGGTCCGTCCACACCTCAAAGGGGTGCTGTGCGCCCTCCAACAAATGGCGCCAGGTAGACAGAGCCCATTTCACAGCAAACGCCTCCTTTTCCCACACTGCCCATCGCCGTTCCGTCTCAGTGAACTTCTTGGATGTGTAGGCGCACGGTTGTAATAGACCTTCTGCATTGCGTTGCAACAATATCGCCCCAACAGCGACGTCACTGGCGTTGGCCTGGATCACGAATGGTCGGCCTGGGTCGGGGTGCACCAGTATAGGTTCCTGTGCAAATAGTCTCTTAAGGGACTCAAAGGCCTGTTGACAGGTTACAGTCCAGGCGAGAGGTTGTCCCGGACGGGGTTTGCCAGTTATATGCTTGGTGCGCAATAGCTGAGTCAACGGCAGGGCTATATCAGCAAATAAGGGGATGAACTGCCGGTAAAAGTTCGCAAACCCCAGGAACCGCTGCAGTTGACGTCGGGTTTTTGGAGCTTGCCATCCTAACACGCACTGTACCTTACTAGGGTCCATCTCTATCCCTGCCGCAGAAACCCTGAATCCGAGGTAGTCAATACGCTCCTTGTGGAATTCGCACTTCGATAATTTACAATAGAGCTGAGCATCTAACAATTTGCGCAAAACTGTGCGCACCAATTCCACATGTTCCTCTAATGACTGTGAATAGATCAATATGTCGTCCAGGTACACAAGCACACCCTTGTATAAGTGGTCATGCAACACTTCGTTAATAAGCTGCATGAATACAGCCGGGGCTCCCTGTAACCTGAAGGGCATCACCTTGAACTGATAACTGCCTAACGGACAGTTAAAGGTTGTCTTCCACTCATCCCCTTCCCTGATTCGAACCCTGTAGTACGCCTCGCGGAGATCCAGTTTTGTGAAAATAGTTCCAGTAGCCAAATGAGTCAGAAGGTCTTTCATGAGTGGCAGAGGATACACCTGCTCTATGCATACCGCATTGAGACCCCTGAAGTCCACACATAACCTCAAGCCCCCATCCTTTTTGCCCTGAAATAATACAGGAGCGGCCATCCGAGACCGTGCCGGTTCTATAAAGCCTCTGGCCAAGTTTTTATCCACATACTTCCTCATCTCCTGTAACTCCGCGAATGTCATTGGGTACATTCGAGACTTTGGAAGTTTGGCTCCAGGAATAAGTTCAATTGCGCAATCTGTACGCCTATGGGGAGGCAAACTATCGCACTCCTGCTCACTAAAGACTATTGCGAGATCATCATACACTGATGGATATTTGACCTGCTCCCCATCCTTTATTAGATCTGCCGCCTCCCTCTTCCTGTCGCTAATAGGCCTCTCCGGAACCGGTGGTTGAGGACCTACTGCAAGGCGTAGATGGCGAGCTCCATCTGCCCACCATATGGTTGGTGTCCATTTATCCAACCACGCTAGCCCTAGAATAATAGACTCTGACATGGAGGGGACCACTATAAATCTTAATACCTCCCAATGCGCACCTACTTCCATCCTAACGGGTTCAGTCACTAACGTGGTCGGCGCTCCTCCTAATAGGGACCCATCCACCTGCTCAAAGCGGATTGGGGACTTCAACCGGATTACCCTTATATGCATCTGTTGCGCCACCCCCTTGCTAATAAGACATCTGGTACAACCGGTGTCAACTAACGCCTGGAATGGCTTCAGTTCCCCAGTGGCCGGACTTGTTAACGTTATTGGAATGTTAAACGGAACTATAGGTTCACTTACCAAGGGATCCTCCACCGGACCCTCCTCCTCGTATTCGTGGAGCGCCGGGGGTGCATCACCAGGGGTTTGTTGGAGCGGCATCTGACCCGTATGGTAAGCAACTCGAGACTTCTCTGCAGATTTCTTCGGCGTGGTACCCGGTCTACCGATTGCCGTCGGTGTGCCAGTCAACTCGGTTAGGTCGGCCACCCCACACTCTGCAGCCCGGTGGCCCGGTCGGTTACAACGAAAGCACCTGAATACGGGCTTCGGTCGGGCGGTACCCGGTACGGCCTGAGTAATGCCCGCCCCGGACCGTTCTGGAGCACGGCGTGCTTGCGGCTTGTCTTCACGTACGTCAGAACGGTCCCTCAGTCCAAACTCCAATTCCATAGCCGCTTTAAACCAGTCGACTAGGTGTCCTACAACCCCTCTGACTGCGCAGGCGCGACGTATGTCCGAATCCAGGCCAGCCTGGAAGTGATGGATCAGTAACCGATCGGGCCACGACCTCAGCCTCCCAGCCGCCTTTTGAAATTCGCGGATATATATCTTCACCGGTCTGCCCCTCTGTCGTAAGCCTACCAATTGGGCCTCGGCTCTTTGTAGACGGGTTGGGTCATCGAACCTTGCCCTCAGTGCCTCGAGGAACAGCCCTACGTCAGTCAACTCTCTTGCTTGCTCACTGTATAAATCCGCGGCCCAAGCAGCAGCCTCTCCCTGCAAACATGCTGTGACCGCCACCACCATTGCCCAGTTGGAGGAATATAGGGCGGTGAAGCGGTCCAGATGATTAAGCACGTGGCTCAGGAATACTGCTAATCGGTCTGAGTCACCGTCGAACGTGAGCGTGATCGGGGGGGGTTCCATACCACGTTCTGTGGCCATGGGGTTGGCGCCAGGCCTTCGTAGGGGGCATTCCCTGAGTGTGGTATAGGGCGAGAACCCACCCCCATGGGCCCCCCCCTTAGCCTATCAGCGCCAAGAGATTGACCTGCCGCCGGGCGCGGCCCCAGTCCGTAACGGGGTCGTTCCGCTTCAACCCGCCCCGGGTCGGGGTCCTGGAATGCTTTCATTTCCATCCCTGGACTTGACAGGTGGAAACAGGAGGAATAAACCGGACTGCCCTTAACAGGACTACGGAGCATTGCAGGATGGAGACGTTCCCCGAACTGCTCCCTAAGGACATCTAAGGTATACTGTCCTGGAGCCGTGGAGCAGCTCCATTCCTCCTCTGGATCTCCAGTCACCCTGCGTTCCCTCCATCCAGTGAAACTCGGCGCTAACCGCCGACCCCTATTGTCCTCTGGTCCTCCCAATGCCGAACCTAACCACCAGTCAGCCTCAGTCCCCACCGGGCGTTGTAGCCTTAAACCTGGTTCCAACTCCGCCGGAATGCGAACTCTCTCCTTTGGCCGCACTACCGGCTGCTTGGCTACTGCACCGTCGACGTCCGAGCTCTCCAGCTGTTCGTTGGGCTCCGCCGCCTCCGCAGCTTCCACCGGGTCCGCCCCTTGCGTTCCCTCCGCCATAACGCTGCAGGCAACCGGCGTCGATCGGAAATAAATGGTGAGGGCAAACTTACTGTAAGGAACGTCCTAGGTAGGTTGGTAATACAACACAACAGGAACGCTCCAGGATCCAACAAGGTTTATTGCACGTTGTAGGAAAACAAAGTTTGCCCTGGGAAGGCTCCGTCCCCGCGCGTTAAATGTCACATCGCGTTACGCCCACCACACACACCCTAAACAAGCCATATAAGGAAACCCCGCCCATGCTCCACCCGTCCGCCCCACCCTGTGATAAACTCCACCCTCCGGATCCCCTGCCGTTTCCTCACAGCCGGCCCGAACAACAGCAAACCCCGTGACCTAACTCTATCCGTCAGTTCCCCTTCGTCCGCTAACACTAGAACTTGTCAGACCCAGCGTCTCTTTCAAGGTCGTGTTCCCCCGTCTGCAGTCACTCCGGCAGCTGCCCCATCACGTGAGGGAGCCATGCGCGCAATCAACCGACGCCGGCGGTGTAGGTGCCGTTCCGTCGGGGCTGCCTGGATGCGCTAGACCGTCAACTCAAGCCACGCTGGATGCTATGCCGGGTAGGTGTCACGCTGGGTCTGACAGGAAGCAAATAATTTGTTAGTTATATTGCCACGTAATAACTTTATAAAAAAGCACAACAGCACTTCAGAGGATGATACATAATTTGACAAGCACACGTTATTAACAAAAAATCATCATGTGAAATTTCTTTTGTAAACTATCATGACATGAACATATGTGAGAAGCTTGGGCATGTGTGGTTATAGAAGGTTTTATTTTCTAGGCAAAACATATGTTCCTCCTAAACCATTAGAAAAAAAAGGAGAGTGGAGAAAGGAGATAGGTATGTAGGTAGGCAAAGTTAGAGTGTGTTTTGAAAACATTCTAGGACTTTGACCTACCAAGAATGACAAGCAAACAAGGGCTGAGAATCAAATTATGGAGAACGTGGGCTGCAGCCAAAGAAAGTACCATAGCATATGATTAATTTCTGAAGCATATTTTAAAATATCAAATAGATAGAAGAATACATGAACACAAAGAGGAGGTGGCTAAAAAAAAGTCACTATTATTACACACAGATAAATATGGAATATGGAATTTGGCAGGCCCAACTTGAGTCCCTCAAGTCAATTAAATCTCACTAATATTTAGAAAAAGACTTGCTAATAGTGGCGGGAAAAATTTGGTAACAGGACAATTGTTCCAACAGGTATATATTTTACCTCAGCATACTGTCCAGTCCATAATCCATTTTCAGCTGTGATTTATTTAAAAATCTGCACAAAGTATCAATGTCATATATTCATGAATAAATGTGTTTTAGATATTTATTCCAAATATGCATCCCTAAATTACATCATGGGGTTTAAAATGTATCTACTGGAAATTTGATGGGGGGAGCCCCAAACTGCTCTGGAATATATGGGAAGGGTATTCAGATGCAATGGATCACTATGTCTAACTTCATGTATTGGAATCTGTGGATGACCTTGGCAAAGGAGGGGAAGAAATGCTGCCTAGGAAACAATGAGGCAAGAGAGGTGGGATAATTGTTTCCTAGGCAACCTCTCTACTCCTCATTCCCCAAGGCCATCCACACATTGCATTACAGATCAACACATTTATGGTTTGGTGCATCCAGAATTTGCACATCTATATGTACCTCAACCTGTTTAGGACCTGTTTTTGTATTGGAATTTGCTTGTGCAGATGTATGACTGTAATAAACCACACTTTCATAAATGTACTTCTGATATTTTTTAACAAAATATATACCATTTGAGAAGAGTGTTCCCCATTCATCCTGATATTTTTTATAATCCATGTTTTATTGTTAAAATATTAAAATGCAAAGGGAGAAGATTAAAGCAAGATAAAACCAAAAATACTACTATACTTCTTAAAAAAAGAGAAATTACTTTTAGTGATACATTTTTCTCTTTCCTTCTATTTGACTCCTCAATTATTAGTCAGAATTTAAATATTTAAATGTTGTATCTAACATTGTTGTTAATTTCCATTTAAAATCCACATTCCAGATATTTAAATCTGCCTTTCTGTATGATATATTGTATATAAGGGAGCCATTCTTGCTTCAGTTTGGTTAAACTTGTATGTGGATATATAGTCATCAATTTTTCCAGAGTCTCCCAGTTTGTTATAAAAGGCAAGTTATTTCTTTTCCAATGTTGTGCTATGTTGAAAGCAAAAACACACTCAACTTAATCTTATAGATGCAACAATTTATCATGCTATATTTCCTTTTTAAAATACACATTTCAAGAGTTTAGAGCTATTTATCAATAAGAAGTCTGTGGAGAATGGAGGGGTTTTCCCTTTTGTTTATCAGAAGTATTTGCTAAGTCTAACAAAATAAAGAAGCAGTAAAGTTCAGGATGTGTGAGCTCAATTTTCTCCTTTAGAAAATGTTTCCAGATAAACTTTAGCAAATATTATTGGATGGATGAACAAAGCATGCCTAACAATTAAAGAGTGGAGAGTTAAGGGCTGTGGATTCTTCCCTTGCTTACAGAATACTCTAAAACCAAGTATATTTTTTCCTCTATTTTTCCACTGTTTCTCTACCTTTGTGTCTATTTCTCTCCCGATGATTTTGAAAGGCAGAGATGTATAGACCAAGGTTTCATATAGATGTTACATTTCATAAATTTTATTTTCTGATCCTGATGCTATCAGATAGCCAGGAAGACAAGCTTCTATCCTGTACTTATAGATTTTGCCAGATTGTGATACCAATATTAAGATTATCATCCCATGCACATATTTGGGAATAACCTTCCTGGAATCCAGTAGGGCTTATTTTGGAGTAAACATGAACAACCTTGTTATAGGGACAATTTATTATGTACATCTTCTGGGTTCGTGTCAGTAGGAGGATAAAGGAAGGTGAGGTCTCACTGAAAGAAAAGTTGAAGTTTGAACATGATCACACAAAGGCAAAATAGCATTGTCCCTGATTTGCTGAGAATGTAATAAAAGAGGTGGATAAGTGTTTGGGGTGGAGGGTTTTATTTTAATTTTTTTAGTCCAATTTTCCTTTAGGACTAGTGAATGGGATCATCTTAAATAAAGAATCTTAAGTTTTTGGCTAAATAGAGTAAAAGCCAATAACCAAGATGCTGAAACTTATTCTTCAGCATAATTATTAGAATTTCAAAAATATTATCTTTCTTTGCAGTTGGATGCAAAGCTGGGTACTTTCTAGATTCCTGGGCTAGCATAATATGCCAAATTCTAGAAACTGAAGTCCACACATCTGGAGGAGACCCATTTTGGGCAAAGCTGGGATGCATCAATAAATGATACATGCAGTTTAAATCAAACAGTGATTTGAAATTATTGAACCCTTCCCCAATAAGTGAATAGTTATGATTTAGCAGAACTTTCAGATTCTTGCAATGGAAGAGCAATCAAGATCCAAAACTCCCCTTATATAGGGAGCAAGGGCTGATTATATGGCTTCCCAGTTGCAAGTCTGTGGCAAGCTCAGGATTCTGACATATAATCTGATATATCACTGATATATTGCTGTCTTAATATGAAGTTTACATTGTTACATTTATTACCATGTCCAAGGAGTTAAACACTAGCATATTACATCAAACCATGCTCGGTTTAGCCATATTGCGCTAATCATAATGTCTTGGCTGTGGTTTGTTGAATAAGCCACAGTGGCTGGATTTATATTAAGGCTTAAATCATAGCTTAAAAACAATCACGCCTGGGTTAATAAATCACACTAAACCACAATTAAACAAAGAATCTAGAAGCTTAGCAGTGTGAGTGAACCCCGCCTCATTCAGCTAAACATTCCCCATTGAAGCTAAAGTATACTGTATTGGGGTGAGTGGCAGCTGAATGAAGGGCATATTTCAGTGGTGGCGAACCTATGGCACGGGTGCCAGAGGCGGCACTCAAAGCCTTCTCTGTGGGCACACGTGCTGTTGCCTCAGCCTTGCCTCCCCGGCAACCCCCTCCTCACCAGCAGCCCCCCTGAAGGAGAGTCACCCTTGAGCGTGGCCCACATGGAGCAGCGCAGCCAAGGACATGGCAGCAAGGCAGTGTAGACAAGACTCTGCCCTCACACCCCATCATGCAGTTGATGCTGCAGGGCGCGGGCAGAGGGTGTGGCCACCATAGTACTGCTGGGCTGCCTGGGCGATCTGCGGTGGGCCCTGGAGGCGGTGAGTGGTCCTGTGGGCAGGTGGGGTGGGGGATGGGGGGGCAGAGTAGGGGTAGGCCAGGGGGGTAGAGCAGGGCGGGGCCAGTTTTTGGGCACTCAGTCTCTAAAAGTTTCGCCATCACTGGCATATTTGATCATGGACAAGACACAAATGCCAGCTTCCTTAAAATACTGTAACACTTATGATACAACTCAGGATTAGATCAGATATGATTTATTGCAGCCATAGGCCAGTGGTACAAACCAGGATAATCCTTTCTTCTCAGTAGACCATCAGATATTAACACAGGCACAGATATTTACAAGTAATAGATTGAAAGGGAATACCTTTGGACTACAATTGCATGAGTGGACTGGGGATCATATTTTTAAAGACATCTCAAACACAATGCCTTTGGCTACTCCAAATCTTTCTCTCGGATATGATTGCCTACCATACAGAGCAAATTCTTCTAGAACCATGGTAGTCTGACCTGAAGACACCTGCAGCCTGAAATATCACCATCCAGAATCCTTTCATCATCACTCTGAATTATATGTAGGCAAAGTTGAGATTTTTATTTATTTAACCTGATTTTCTCTTACATTTCAAGAAACGACCCAGCTGGAGGGAAGAAAGATCAATATAAATCTTTACATGCTTATCTGCATAATGAATGCATTCCATGGAAATGAAGCCAAAGGCTCACAAAGCTGTAGAACAAGTTAGAGAGTTGGGAAAAAATGAAGTCATTAGACCTCACCAGACAAAAGGCCTACCCTCTAGAAAGGAAAAAAAAAAAACAAAAAACCCTGGGCTTAACTAGATTGCTTTAGCTAGGGAGAAAAGAATGTGACAAAGAAGACTTAATCAGATTTTATGGTTGAGGATGGCACGCACATTTGGAGTTGACAAAGAACTTCACCGCTGTTATAATCTTTTGCAGAAAGGCTGAGGGCTGGGAGTGCCACATCTGGAATGCCATGAGCTGTTTATCCTGCTTTACCTCTTATAAAACATGTGTTTCTCTCCCACCAATCTCACATAAAGAAATGTGTTGGCTAGTCCTGTCTTTATTTGTGTAGCTTTGGGTCTTAAGAGGAAAAGAATCCTCTTTAAGGCTTGCTAGGAAACAGGGAGGCTGGAAGAAATGTATTGTATTTATCTGATTTATAGCCATCCTTTCTTCTCGGACTTAAGGCCATTTTTTTCCCACGTTAAAAATTTGGTAACTAGTTTGGGTTAAGACAGAGTTTTTCAATCTTTTTGTTGTTGTTTTTGCTCATGGTCTCCTTCTCAGCTGGTAAAGTAGTTTTTCTTCCAGCTATGAGGGATGCCATAGAAGTACTTTACCATCTGCTCTTTTTTATTAACCTAAGCTGTACCATATAACTATCCTCATATTATAAAAACAAAATATTCGGAATGGCATTGTCCCCAGGACTCATATAGTTCATGTTGAAAGCCATTGAGTTAAGAGATGGTGACAGATTTAAAGTCCCAATAAAGGAGTATATTTGTAGGATTGAAATGAGAGGTCCCTGGTGTTCTCTGAGCTTGGTTGTTCTCTTGCAGACATTTCATTACCCACATTAGGTAACATCTGGTCGTGGTATACTAGCAGCGATGATGTTACCTAGTTTGGGTAATGAAATGTCTGCAAGAAAACAACCACGTTCAAAACAACCAAGGACCCCTCAGATCTAAAGTCATCTAGTGTATTTCCAAGGATGGAGTTAGACCTGAATCTGTGTCTCCTTCATCTGAGTTCAGTAGTCTATGAATTAGCTACATAGAAAGTGCAAAGAGGGAGGAAGACCAAAGACCATTGTCATATTGAGCCATACTATTTCAAAAGTTGTTTCTCTGACATGGTGGCGAAAAAGAGTTTAACACAATTGTTGCTAGGCAACATTTTTTGCTTTTGCAGCATTGGCATAAGCAGGGAAATGTTGCTAACTGGCATGCTACCGTAGGCGTTACTGGATTAATTTTTGATATAACCCAGGGGAATGATTAAAACATTAGTTCAGTGCCAGCCTAAACATAAAATCAAGGTGAGAATAAAATGTCTGTTAAAAGACACGATTCGTTGAAGGATAATTTGTAGGGATAGATATTTTACTGGTAAGGCCGAAGTGACCGTGTCATATCATAGGCCTTTTACACACACAAGGAGAATACCATGATCATACCTTCATCAGTGTTCAAGAAAATATCCATTATTAAGCCAGTATAATCTGAGATTTGCTCCCCTTTTATGAAACAAAGTTGTACAGGATGGACAATCAAATGAATATTATTTGTAAGTTTCCCTGTCTAGATTGCTGGCAAAAAGTTGGCATCAACATTTAATGATAGTGCAAGCTGTTGTCCATTCAGAATAATCTTTACTGGTCTTCAAAATTATTTAAACCTTATTAAAATAAAAAGGAAAAACTATTGTAAAAAAGCATCATTCTAAATCTCCAGTAAGATAGAGAAAACACTCAGTACTGTATATGTCTTATGCTACTCAGAGTAGTCATCCAAGCCAAGAGCTTTCTTTATCTTCATAGACTTAATGGTATCTAATATTTTCTGGAAAGATAAAGATGCAGCTAAATAAACAGTTCAGTTAAGCAATCTTCAGAAAAGCTATATTATTATTATTGTATAGTTGGTCATGCAATTAACCAAGTGTTTAGACTGAATCTGGCATTTTTATTCTCCTATTGGGTCCTTCCCAAGGACTTAGGAACAGGCATATGTTGTCCTTCGATGGTGTTAAATAAATTGTCATAGATGATGACAGACAACAATGTGCAATCACAGCTACCAGTTTTTTAGCTGATATTACACAGGGAATTCTTTCCAAGAATTGAGTATTATAATGTATTGATGTAGCAGTATTTTTTCCAAATTATTTGTATTTGTTATACTATATATAACATGTATAATGTACGGGTAGTCTACAATTAGATTCACAGTCTAAGACTGGTGGAGTGATTAAGGTAACACCTAAGAATATAGGCAGTTCCAACAGGGTGGTTTTTTAGGGTGTTTAGGTTTGTGTGTGCACACGTATGCACGAGCATACATGATATCTTTTTGTCAGCCAAATTTCAAGTATGATTTCACTAACAATAAAGTGTATGATCTCAAGAATAAACAATTTAATTTCTAAATCATGATCTTTTTTTTCAAAATCAGTAGAAAATGTTCCAGATTTTTAATAAACATTAAAGAGTCCCTTTACGTAAAGACCTAAGCTTAAAATCTCCACAAAACAGATAATGGTGTCATATGGTAATCTTCTAAGAACATTTTTTTTATTTTATTTGCCTCTTTTTTCTCCATATGCTGGCTAGTAATCATTTTATTTATGCTTTCCATTTAAATGTCTAGGGAAAAAAGACCATTCCCACCCAGGATAACATTTTGAATGAGATTTCTACAGGATTCAATAGTCCTGTGAAGGATAAAATGGCCAGAAATACATAAATTAACATAGGTATCTGTGAATTAAGATCTCCAAGTGTCATCCTCCAAAGGGGGAGGGGATTTGATTGCAATTCTCTAAAAATAATAATTATTCAATAAAACAGCCCAACTAAAAACAAAAGAATCATAGAAAAGAAAGGAATAAAAAAATAAGTGTCATCTTTCCAACAAAAAAGGGAAAGCTGTGTTACATATGTTCTTGGCTTAGTCATACAAAACTTGTACAAGAATATTTTATTTGAGCAGCTATCTGCAGATTGGTAATCAGCAAACATTTTTGAAAAAAAAAACTCATATACTGTAACTGGTTAATGTACAAATAAATAAGAACAGAAGCACCCAGATGAATTCAGTCAAGCTAATTGGTGTTGGGGCACATCTCAAAGGCTGATCATTATGGTGAGTCCAGAATGATATAGGGTCTTCTGCCTGAGCAGGGGGTTGGACTTGAAGACCTCCAAAGTGCTTTCCAACTCTGTTTTTATGCATTCTGTATTCAATTGTAATTTCAAAATCATCCCTCATTATCTCAATGCTGGAAAACGTTTCTATTACAAGTTTCTCAATGCCTCTTAAGATTCCAAACAAGAGAACAGCACACAGTGTGCCATATTGTACTTATGAACCAATCTCATATAAGAACCCAATGAAAGATTTGTGAAGAAATTACCAGCTTTACATTACAACACCTTAGTCAGGCAACAGCTGAGTATATGGTTGCTACTGAATTAGAAGTTTTAAGCCTGCCTACTCTTTGTGCTGATGATTTATTTTATGTTCTCTGGAATACAGAACCAAAGTTCCATGTAGCCCAAGATTAACAACAATGGCCAATTCCACTTTTTTTCCTCCTAGCCTTACCAGGAGACAGGAAGGACTATATTTAAATTTTCCTTCTTGCAAAACAGATGTTCTGCTATTGAGTACAGCCTTCCCCAGAAATACAAGTGATTGGTGAAAATGGAATAGTTTGAAACCTAGATTGTAAAAATACATCTGGACCTTGCTTTTATTACAGGAAGTCCTCGACTTATGACCACAACTAGGGCCTGAATTTTGGTTATTGAGTAAAGTTGTTCAGCCTGATGTCTGGTGACTGCCCACATAATGGCTTCGCTCCACCACAATCCTGGCTCGTCCAATTGTGGTTGTTAAGCATTCATGTAGGTCATTAAGCAGAGTGCAGGGGTGCCTCGGGGAAAGGGGGAAGCCAAGAGAGGCCATGGAGGCCTGGGACCTACCGGTACGTGGAAATCTGCTGTAGGCTGGCAGGTATTGGCTGGCTCCAGGACCTAACAGCGCGTATGAAGCTGCAGAGTTCTGATGTTCTTCCCATCTAGCCACCCAGCAACGCCTGGGAGTCTTCAACCAGCTCCAGGGCCTACCAGTACACATGAAACTGCCATGGCCCTGGAGGCCTTTGGCCTTCTCCCTGCCTAACCAGACAGCAATGTGCAGGAGTCCTCAGCCAGCTCCAGGGCCTACTGGAACACAACTTACTTTTTCATTTTTCTGCTGCTTCTTCCAGATGCATCCAGTCAATACTTCATGCGTGCCAGCTGAGGGCTCTCCTCCACCCCTTCTGCTTGCAAACTTCCCAGCCGGCTCCCTCATTATCTTTCTGGGGAATCTAGCAGAGAAGATTTCAAATGATGATTACATGATCGCAGGATGCTTTTGCAACCAGTAGTAAGTGCAAGTAGGTTGCCAAGCATCTAAGATGTGATCATGTGACGGTGGAGTAGAGGCAGCCATAAAGCACCCTTTCCCTCCTAATTACAAATGCCTGGTTGTGAAGTCAAGGATTACCTGTAGGGTGAGTGTGCAAAATTTCATCAGGCTAAGTTGTTGTTGTTGTTGTTTTAAAGGGATAGTAGAAGAAACAGACAAGTTAAAACATCTGACCAAAAGTTGTGTCTGCAGGGAAAAGGGATGGAGACTGCATGCTGAATGAGTCACAATTTGGTGTTCCAAGTATCAGATGATACTCATTTTCTTGGACAAAGAAGCAGTGAATGGCACATGGGCTGCATCTATTTGGCATCTTAAGACAAATCCAAAGACAAAACCACAGTTTTGCCTGCAGCATGATTACATAATACAAGCCAGCTGCTTAGATTTGCAGAATGAGATTGAGAGCATATAAATAAAGTAAGAAACAAAAAATCTGACTTACTTACCAAACTGTGCTAGAAATAACCCTGGCTTAGTGCCCTATGCAAACAGTTCGCACAGACACATCTTTTGAAAGTGCATTTTAGATTTCTTCTCTTGAGAACATGCAGGTTTCTGAATATGCAAGAAACAGGAAAAGTATTGTGTTTGTTCACCAACATTTAAGTGAGTTTAGCTTCAGGTGAGCTAATATTTTCAGATCCATAAAGTACTGTAATTACCCACTGATTTTCTACGGACAAAAATTTCTACCCCCACCTCCCCCCCCCCAAAAAAAAATCCTCAGCACCACACCTAACAACTTTCATGAGATTATAAAAACGGTCACTAGAGGGCAGTAAAGCCCAATCCAATTCTGCTTTAGTTCATTTTTACAAGCTCTTTTGTTTGTCTTCCCTTCAGCCAGTGACTTATTTGGGCAGACCTTCTCTGGGTTCAGAAATGGAGCAGGAAGAGTTCTAACTAATACTTACTAGCAGAGAATTACAAGGTTATACCTTGCATTCTTGGAAGTTAAAAAAAAAAAAAACAATTCCCTGGAAGACGGTCAAGGTGAACAGCACAGACCAGCAGAGACATGTTCAAAAAGTCATAGGAGTTAATCCAGTCTTGAAAGAGAATTATTTAGCCTACGGCATTAAGTAATTATTGAGTAATAGCCTTACTGTATTATGTAAAGGAGAATAAAGAGTATATTCCTGTAAACCAAACCCAACAATAGATTTTTTCTTTGAAAATGAAACATGGTTGTGCTTGCCATAATAATCTATGGCAATAAAGCATGCAAATATCCTGCAGATGGATTGGCAGATTTCTTGAGCAATAAAACATATTTATGGGTATGTTTATCAAATTTTTAATACCAGCCTTTGCCAGATGTTCCTTTATTTGCATCACAATACATCAATATTAAGCAGGCTTAGCTTTTCTTACTCTGACATGAAGGATATTGTTTACTGTATGTTTTGGGGGTTGTGTTAGACTTAATACAGTGCATAGCATAGTATAGGCTTAGTATAATGTGCAAATCTGCATGTCAAATTGTGATGAAGGTAAGACAGGGCTTTTCAACCAGTCGTACTGATACCACCTGTGTTATAGGAACCTGGCAGGTGGTACGCGACCATCCTAGAAAAGTGGTAGCGGGGGAGGGGAATGAGCTGACCCAGGGGTAGCATCCCACAAGCCTGAGCAAGAGATGGCTGGAGCTGCAGGGCTTTCAGGGCTCAGCGGAAGCGCCAGGATCAGTGCCGCTTTTCAGCTGATCGGTGCTTCTTCGGGGCTGTCAGGGCTCAGTGGAAGTGCCAGGATCAGCGCCAGGCTCCAGCTGGAGCTCGGCGCTGATCCTGGTGCTCCTGCTGAGCCCTGAAGAAGCACCAATCAGCTGGAAAGCAGCACTGATCCTGGCACTTCTACTGAGCCCAGAAGAAGTGCCGATCAGCTAGAATGTTGCAGCATTTCCAGGGTCTTGTGATTTACATACAGATGCTTGGCAACTGATTCATATTTATGACGGTCACAGTGTCCCAGGGTCATGTGAAGTGACCAAAACCTGCTGCAACCACCCAACAAATGGGTGGAATAAAAAACAAACACCCCCGCTGCCAATCCTCAACAGAAATGCTCACAACAATGAAAACCTTGGACAGGAGGAAGAGCGCCACCGAGTGCTGTCTTGCTTGGCTGTGGCTTGGGGGGCACTTTTTCCAGTGCCATTGTAATTTTGAACATCCACTAAGCAAACTGTTGTAAGTCGAGGACTACCTGTACTTTATCACTTTTTTCCTTTTTTGGGGGGAGGGTCATCAAGTTTTTGACAACTTGCTAGGCAACTGGTGGTACTCGGATGTTGCGATATCCTAAAAGTGATACAATGAGTGAAAAGGTTGAAAAGCCCTGAGATAAGACACTGAAACATTTGCTCACAGATATGTCCTGATTTATTTACTTCAACCTTAGTATACAGTGTGTCACCTGAACATAGACTGGGTGCAGGGGAAGGCATATTCACTCCCTATTTTGTCTTCCAAACAATAGAGATGGGAGAAAGGAGTGGCACATGTTAGTGCTTATTCAGTATCTCTGTTTTCCCAACTCTATTTTCTCTCCATGCAAGTCTGAAGTTTGTGCCTTAAGTGGCACCAATGAGGTGAGAGATTCAGGTTTTCCCTATCATGGGCATTGATTCCAATTAGGGTATTACAGGGTTTTTTTAAAAAAAGAAAACTAAAACATTAAAAGGAAAAAATAAGACTTTCTGGCCAGCCACCGTAGAGACGGTTAGGTGAGAGTTAGGGAACTGTCAAACTTTTGACTGAAGCAGTTGTCAACGAAGACCAGTGTTTCACAACCTTGACAATTTTAAGGCATGTGGACTTCAACTCCCAGAATTCCACAGCCAGCATTTAAAATTGTCAAGGTTGAGAAACACTGGTGAAGACTGTGGTCCTTTTTTAAAAGCAACCTCAATGTTATTCTAAGATAGGGATGTCCAATCTTGGCAACCTTATGACTTGTGGACTTCAAATGGCTGGCTGGAGAATTCTGGGAGCTGAAGTCCACAAGTCTTAAAGTTGCCAATATTGGACACCCTTTGCTCTAAAACAATCCCAATCTTCCTTTTTGGACAAATGGATTCTGGCCTCAGTTTGCAACTAGACCATGATCAGAAGCCTTGTGATGGATATTGTCTTCCAAAATCAAAAATGTTTACCCCCTTCATCTGGCAACCCCCCTTCATCACAGCTTCAAGTTATATAAAATCAATGTTTCACCAACCATTATTGACAAGGTCAAGTTATTGGTTTTGAAGCGTCCAAGGCATATTGGGTTGGTTTAGGCAAGCTCCTCTTTTCAAGTTACAGGCCAATATCTACCATCAGCACTTATCTTCTGTCTTTGTCACTCCAAAGATATATTCTTGATATAATTTGGAATGTCCTATCATAGGAAAAAAGAAGCTTTGCCAAGCACTCCTAGCAAGGTATTCTCCTCCTAGCTTTGCATCTGATCTCCTGTGCGTAATCTCCCCTGCTCCTAAACCCAAATGTCCCTTGTAATAGCGAGTTTTCCAGCTGATACTTTCAGCAGATGGTTATGTCAACAACCAGCTGCAAGCTTTTTCCTTATCAGTTCACAAAAATGGCTATTAGAAAGAATATTACATTCTTCCCTAATGTAATAAGAGATTATTTGCCTGATTATATCCTACCTAAGTAGATATGCTTAATACTCTTTCCTCCTTTTTGCCACAATAAATATCCTACTAGTTAGTTTGTGCTAAGAGTGATTGAGTAAACCAAAGTCACCTGGTGAACTTCTGTAGTTGAGTGTAGATAAGAACCCAAGTCTCCCTATTCCTAGTCCAACACTTAATTCCTCTCATCCCAATAAATTTTGCTAAAGAAGAGTCTATGGAAATTTTGCTTGGAAAAAAAACTTCCTCCTGTTTAAGACAATTTCCAAGTGTCTCTTAATTATGAAGACAAGCATATAGCAGTCAAAAGTCACCAAGAGGAACTGCGTAATTCTGCAATATCTTCATAGTTGCTGCCATCACACCTATAATAAGATATATCATCAAAGAAGAGAAAGACTAGTTTGGCATCAGATTACTCATGAAATTAGTCACCCTTAAAAATGTTCAGTATAGCACCTTCAAGCTGCACTTACCGAGAGCTATGAATAAACCCCATGCAAGGGTTAAGGAGCAGGAAGAGAAAGGTAAAGTAAGGGAATAAAAAGACCAAACATAGAAGGCACTTTATAAGATAACTCTCTTTTCATTGGCTTATTGTACTACCTCTTTTATTCATAAATAAATTTTATTTATTAAATTTTATATCAGGATTTAGAAATACACAGTCTTCTAAACATTGTAGAATTACAATTCTCAGCAGCTTTTGCACCTGTCCACCTTGGTTAGAACTGCTGATTTGTGATTCAGCAACAACTGACAGACTTTCATTTGTTTGTTGGCTTATAAGCTAAGATTTTTTTTTAGGTTGCCCAACTGACCACACTTTCCATGTAATTCAATAAAAAGAAGCAAAATTAAATAAAAAATAAAGATGAGTATCATAATGCATCATTGGGGCAACGTGCAAAAATCAGTCAGAGTTTGTGCACTTTGGAATTGCCTCCCTCTCTGGCTCTGTGTGAGTCTCACCCTGACAATCTTCCTGAATCTTTAAAAACTTGGCTGTTGTCCTAAGGTTTGCATAGGGTAGTAGTATGGCTCATTGGTTGCATCTTATGGTATATGGGGTGTGGTTTGTCCCAAAGTATGTGATTTTTTTATTGTTTATCTTTAAATGTAAACTACCCATATTCATTTAAAGTTGGTCAGCCTCTAAGTTTAATTAATAAATAAATGGAAAGTCCATGCCTGAGCAACAATGGGGCTCAGGCCAGTAATGCAGTTATTGCTTGATCACTTCTGCTGCCCAGCCTCCTCAACATTGCACCTGTGACCATCTTTCTCTGTGAGAGGACTGGCATGCTCTGCCCATCAGTTTCTCATCCCTCCTGGTCATCCACACTCTTCAAAATTGCAAGCCCCTAAATAGATCTCTTCCATAACAATGTTGACAAGAATGGTCTGAACTAGAGTTAGGGACATTATCCAAGGTTCCATTTCCCTGGAACCAGGAGGCCATTGTCCTTTTGTTAATAGAGAGGGCATAGAGCAGTGTTTCCCAACCATGGTGACTTGAAGATGTGTGGACTTCAATTCCCAGAATTCCCTAGCCAGCATGCTGACTGAGGAATTCAATCCCCACATCTTCAAGTTGCCAAGGTTGAAAAACACTGACATAAAGAAGGGCCTTAAAGCAGTGTTTCTCAACCTTGACAATTTTAAGGCATACTGGCTGTGGAATTCTGGGAGTTGAAGTCCACATGCCTTAAAATTGTCAAGGTTGAGAAACACTGACTTAAAGGAAAATAGGAAGATCTGTTTAACAAAGCAACAATCAAGCAAGAACAGCTGAAGTCTATTCCAAGAATCTAATTTGGAAAAAAAAAAAAAAAAAACACCACCTCAGATGGCCGCTCCTTATTTCACACAAAGATAAAGTGAGGAAGGAGGGAAGCACATTCAGACTTGCAGGATTCTGTTATTATAGCTGTTCCAGTAAAAGTAGTTTTAGGTCTTTATGCATGGGGTTCTTAGTCTGATCTACTCTGTAGAGCAGGGGTGGGGAACTATGGCCCTTTTATGACTTGGGGACTTGGGGGCCATGCTGGCACAGGTATTCTGGGAGTTGAAGCCCAGAAGTCATGAAGGCACCATAGTTCCCCACCTCTGCTATAGGGTGACAGTTAACATCTCCCCATAATCAGTGACCTGTTCTAATACTGCCAGGGCCCATGCCAGAGCTGCCCACTAAGATTTCACCCCCCCCAAAAAAATTACCACCACAACCATCAGTCCAGCCATGCACTTCCAGTCCATTGACCATAACAACAACAATCCACCATTCAATCAACTGTCTCTCATAAATCATTCTCCCCAGATGCCAGCTTAGTTACATTTATTTTTTGTTCTGAGCAATCTTGAATAAGATTTTGGCTAGAAAGGTGGGATATCAGTATTAATATTTATGTACATTGTGTCACCATGATTCAATGAACTAAGGAGAAAACATGGGACTTGGGAACAGAAGGAGCTGTAACTGGTGATGGAAAAAACAAGGGGCTGGTAGAGAATTTGGTGAAACTAGTATATCGAGACAAAGCAAACGTTATTTCTTTAGCATGATTTTAAAAGATTATTTGCTGGTCCATGTGTGATCACAAGCCAGGCTGAATGAATATCATACCTAATGACAATAATATTAATTCAGTGGTATTAAGTTATTTATATATTATCCTGAAATATTTTATTTTTATGTAAGAGTTGCTGCCATTGAATCTCTCACTCACTCACTCTCACTTGAGGTGATCAGTTGATCAAATGGTGATGATCTTGAACAGGGGCAAAGAGTTTCCTTCCAATACAACCACAATCTGCTATTTTAGAAGCAAAGAAGGGGGAAATATTTTTTTAAATGTTTAATGGGGGATAAGCTACATGTTGCATGCGAACAGCTATTTCTGCTCCTGTGAAATGCTCTTCTAAAACCAATTATTTGCAAACATTTTTTTTTTAAAAAATTGATGACTGCAATGTTGGTCCTCAACAATTGCCAACTTCATTACACCTTGGGCACCTTGGGAGACTCTATGTGAACTTTAAGACATTCAAAAGCAGCAAAGGTTATAATAGAGGGTTAAAACCCATCTTGTTGCTGGCTGCTTGGAAAAAACAAGAAACAAAGCAAAAGGAAGGAAGAACATGGATGGTAGGAGGAAATGGGACCACTGCAATTCAGTGGGAAATAGCCCATCATTGGGGAAATAGAAGTGGGATGGGCCAGAGGGTGGAAACTGATAAAGGGTTAAAAAGAACTATGGGGAAGAATCAGAGTGGCCTTCTGTAGGAGTGAGGGTGGAGGTTGGATTAAGAGGGAGTATTCCTGAAAGAGAAAATAATTACTGGGAAGAATACAAATCTTCTTCCCAGCTGGTTCAAATTCTTTCTACTAGTCCTTTAATCCAGGGCTTTTCAACCTTTTCACCCATTGTACCACTTTTAGAATATCGCAACATCCGAGTATCACCAGTTGCCTAGCAAGGTGTCAAAAAAAAAAAAGGAAAAAAGTGATAAAGTACAGGTAGTCCTCAATTTACAACAGTTCGCTTAGTGGATGTTCAAAGTTACAATGGCATTGAAAAAAGTGCCCCCCAAGCCACAGCCAAGCAAGACAGCACTCGGCGGCGCTCTTCCTCCTGTCCAAGGTTTTCATTGTTGTGAGCATTTCTGTTGAGGATTGGCAGCGGGGGTGGGGTGGGGGTGTTTGGTTTTTATTCCCCCCATCTGCTGGGTGGTTGCAGCAGGTTTTGGTCACTTCACATGACCCTGGGACACTGTGACCGTCATAAATATGAATCAGTTGCCAAGCATCTGTATGTAAATCAGAAGACCCTGGAGATGCCGCAACATTCCAGATGATTGGTGCTTCTTCTGGGCTCAGGAGAAGTGCCAGGATCAGTGCTGCTTTCCAGCTGATTGGTGCTTCTTCAGGGCTCAGCAGAAGCACCAGGATCAGCGCCGAGCTCCAGCTGGAACCTGGCGCTGATCCTGGCGCTTCCACTGAGCCCTGACAGCCCTGAAGAAGCACTGATCAGCTGGAAAGCGGCACTGATCCTGGCGCTTCCGCTGAGCCCTGAAAGCCCTGCAGCTCCAGCCATCTTTCACTCAGGCTTGTGTGATGCTTCCAACCGGGTCAGCTCATTCCCCTCCATCGCTACCACTTTTCTAGGATGGTCGCGTACCACCTGCCAGGTGCCCATGTAGCACAGGTGGTACCCGTACCACTGGTTGAAAAGCCCTGCTTTAATCGGTAGAAGATGATGTATTCCCCACTGCCAATCCCTATTCAACAGAGTAATGAAACAAAAAAAAAAAATGGTGCTAACCTTACATATGTATTGTGGGTCACATTTAGTGAAGAGATAAGTAGATTTTTCCAGCTTTGTTTATGTTTTTATTAAGCTTCACCTGTCAGAGTGGGGGGGGGAATCAACCACTCTCCCTAATATGGAGTGGGATAGGGCAATATTTAGACAGTTGCTTAGATTAGTGGGTTTAGCCACCTGTCTGGTTGCCTGGCTTAGTGACATGAGAGGGAATGCTTCCTTCGCTTCCACTCAGCAAACCCCCTCTTCCATGCCTATTATTAGTCAGATGGGCAAAAATGAATCTGATAACAGGGGTATAGACTGAAGTAGGAGCGAGTGGTCTCTATGCAGAAAGAAAGGAAGATGACCTTGATGGGCATATGGAAGATGCATTGCCAGGGTGATGATGAGTAAAATGTATTTTCAGTTTACAAGACAGATAATATATGGAAGCAACTCTTTCAGACACCTCCCTAATTCACTAAGCTAGGAGGAGGAGGAGACCAAATGTAATCAGGTTTGTAAGATTGATATGAGCCCCATTAGGCAGACCAGACTAAGAAATCAACTCTGCAGGAAGGTTGAGAGTACTTTTTATTCAGATTGGCTATAATAATAGAATCAAGGATAAGTTGAAGCTGCTTATGTCCTCTAAACAAAATTACTCGGGCCTCACCATTGGGAGCCCACAGGTTATACAGAACCACTGTGAGTTGAACTCAAATGCTCACCAACTGAGCCTGTGACTGACGCTTAATCTGAAATATTCTGCTGGTCTTCAGAAGTAAGCATGTCTACAGCAATGCAGCCCTGAAGATTGTTACAACCAGCTTCTGTATGGCAAAATCCACTTTACTTGATTCTGTGTGGCACTCAGTATTGTTACTGTAGTATGTTGATTTACTAGAGTCACAGCTCTTTGGATTTTTCATTTTTTGTTAACATTCTGATACCATCGTGTGTCGAAGACAAAACACAAAACTCTGCTTTAAAACTGAACTGAGAATTTCTTATTTCAAATGAGTTCTAAATAATTCCCAAGGAGCTGAATTTCATTATTTTTTCTTTAATGTCTTTGCTATTGTGGCTACATTTGATGATCCCAAGGTGGCAGTGGTGGTGATAATGATGTGCCATCAAGTGGTTGTTGACTCTTAAGGACTAGGTAGATAGGTTTTCTCCATTATCCCAAGGAGTACAGTAGTAGTAGTTGTTGTTGATTTTAAAAAAAGTTTACTTTTCTCATACATGCAGAATGAGAAAATAAAATACTCCTGGAATGTTCAGTTTTGAAAAGGGAGATGCTATCTCTGGAAAAAAGAAATGAGGATGTCAGCATAAACTTCTCTTTTTATGTGATTTGACACCCATTACATAAACAAGACTGATAGGGCCCTGACTTTATATTGCAAAACATTACTTCATTTTGAGGAGAGCTGGGCCATAACTATTAGCAGAATTATATAGATCATATCCGTTTAGATGATAATATAAATATATATTCCAGAGCACTTTCATAACCTCTCTTAACCTACTCCAGTTTAAATTGGAGGGTTGATTCGAACTGAATTCAGTGGACTTACGGTAGCAACAAGTGACGGACTAAAGCTTGTGGTATCTTTATACAACAATACAGTACTGTATAGTAAAGCTCTAAAATCAAGAAAACACACAGAGCCTTTTTAAGCCATCTTTTGTGGTTCTTTCTTGAACGACTAAGCCGAGCTAATATTATCGTTTATACAACGAATGCGGGGGGGGGGGGAGACGGGAAGCGAGAGCGAGATGGGAAGGCTAAGGAGAGAATAAATGTGTTTTTACCTTGGACGAAACTTTTTAAAAAAACAAAACAAAATCTCTCCAGATCGGAGCTGGGAATTTGGAAGAACCTGAAAGCGCATCCATCGGGAGGCGGAAGGGGGGGGGGAGCAGACAAAGATTTAAAGCCTCTTTTCTGCTTCGGATCTATTAAAAAAAAAAATCTCAGCAGCTCTCGAAATCGCAGACAAGACCCCTCCCTCTTTCATGATCGACTGTCAGTCACTTCCTGCTTCCCCCTCCTCAGCGCCTGCAATACTCTCCACCAATCATCCGCCTCCTCCAAACCAATGACATCATCCCTTTCCTTTCCATTGGCCAGCTATATTAAGAAAGTAGCCGGCCCCTTTAAATACCAGCGTCCGACTGTCGCGGTGCTATGGCATAAAGTACCGAGTACTTGGGCGGCAGGAGCACTCTTTGGACAAAAAAGAAAAGGTGGAAGCCGGAGCAAAACTTGCAGAAAAACTGCCGCCCCTTTTTTTGCTCTTGTGCTCTCGGTTTCTCCCGTCTTGCCTCCGCGTCCCCTGGAAGGGAATCCGGGGCAGAAGAGAGCAAGGAGACGAACTCCTCCTTCCATGCAAGCAGGCAGAAGGCACCAGAGGAGCCAGCCAAGAACAGAACTGAGGCCCGGGCGAAGTGGGCGGTTCCCCCCTGCCTAAGCCGTGCGGAAGAGCCGTCGCTCCCTCCGGCGCCCGGAGAAGACAGTGCCGCCCGCTGCCCTTGCCACGCTGCCCTGTCGAAAAGGCGAAGAGCAGGAGTAGCAGCGACCAGGCGCCGGGAAGAGAGCGCTTCGGTCTCCCTGCTGGAGCACCAGAACAGGGCGGGGTTGGCGACCCTGGCCATGGCGGCGATCCGCAAGAAGCTGGTGGTGGTGGGAGACGGGGCGTGCGGGAAGACCTGCCTGCTGATCGTCTTCAGCAAAGACGAGTTCCCGGAAGTCTACGTGCCCACCGTCTTCGAGAACTACGTGGCTGACATCGAGGTGGACGGCAAGCAGGTGGAATTGGCGCTTTGGGACACGGCAGGCCAGGAAGACTACGACCGCTTGCGTCCTCTCTCCTACCCGGACACCGACGTGATCCTCATGTGCTTCTCGGTGGACAGCCCCGACTCACTGGAGAACATCCCGGAGAAATGGGTGCCCGAGGTGAAGCACTTCTGCCCCAACGTGCCCATCATCTTGGTGGCCAACAAGAAAGATTTGCGCAACGACGAGCACGTTCGCAACGAGCTGGCGCGCATGAAGCAGGAGCCCGTCCGCACCGAGGACGGCCGGGCCATGGCCATTCGCATCCAAGCCTACGATTACCTCGAGTGCTCGGCCAAGACCAAGGAAGGCGTGCGGGAGGTGTTTGAGACGGCTACGAGAGCGGCTTTGCAGAAGCGCTACGGCACTCAGAACGGTTGCATCAATTGCTGCAAAGTGCTATAATACACCACGGACGCCGGGGGAGGGGGCGAGAGACAGGCGTCAAGGGACTGGGCTGACTCCTAAAGCCCGACGGAGAGTCGCACGCAAGAACAAACTCGGGGAGGGGTCGGACCGCACTCTTCGGGGAGGGGTGAGAGAGCAAGCTGCGCGCCCGCTCGGACGTGGGAAGCGCTGATTTTCCACGAAGGGGCCCCCACCGGTTGATGCAACTCCTGTTTGGTGAGCTTGGCTTTTCAGCCTGGCTCGCATTTGCGAAGGACAGTCGTGGGGCTTCCACGGACCGAAGGCGCTCTTCTTTTTTCCTTGCTTGGAGAGGGCTTCCTATTGGTGCCTCGCCGCGCCTAGATCTCCCACGAAACAGCAGGAAGAGATCGGAAGACCATAGCTGCGCTCTTGCCTTGCTCCTCCCTCAGGAGGCTGGTGGACAGATTTGCCTAGGTCGGGATCCCCCCCTGCAATCAATCGGTGTTTTCCTTCAGGCTGGGAAGAGAGTCCTGCGTTGAGAACTGCTGAGAGGGAGGGAGGGAGGGAGGGGTATCTGCTGAGTTGTACATAGCCAATTGTTTGAATTGGGGCAAGGAAAGGATGGGGCTTCTTTGACACTGGACTGGGACCTTGCTCTCTTTGAGACTGATTCTAATTTTTATGGGGTAGGGTGGGGGTGAGTGGATTGGGCTGTCTTCTTCCTAGCCCTTCCACGATGAAAAGGTTTTCCTTCTGGAAATAGCCCTTCTCAGAAGAATGGGATAATATGCTTGGGGTTAGAGAATCCCCAAACTTCCCACAGTCTGGTGCCTGCTGTCCTTGATATGGTTTGGATCCCCTCCTTTCTGTCTCCCCACCCTGTTTCAATCTGACTTCTATTGCAAAAGAACCTATTTTGCACAATGATGAGGGTGTTTATTTGGACACCTTAATGCACTTGTGAGGTGCAGTGTAACTGTACCATTACAAAACCCCTTGCATCATAACCTCATTTTGAGCACAGTCCAGCTAAGCACTTTCCAGGGGAACACTTTTTAACACCCCCCCCCCTTGATGTTGAGCCTTTGAAGAACTTTCACCAGATAGTCATCAATGGGACTTTGAAATGCTTTTTGACTGGGTTGTGCATCTTTGTTTCTGTATAACTGATGACTTATGTAAAGCCACTGTAACATCTTCTGGGGTTGTTGTTGCATCAAGAAACGAGTGGAAACACTGTCTTTTTTTTTTTTTTAAGGAATGTGACATTTTTGTCATTTTTGTTTTACTTTTTCAGCACTAAGTGCCATCTTTGGGCTCATTTCAAACGATAGTACACTTATTTTCACCAGCCAACTTCAAGTGTGTGAGAATAACCTGTGCTCTGTTCAGAGAGTTGATTGAGTTAATCCCCTTCCCCACTGACAACTTTTAACAGTGGTACTAAGAATTTTATTATTTAAAACAAATACACAAAACACTATGTTGATTTGGTTAAAGAAAAGACATGTGAAGTTTACTTTAAATCATCTTAGCTGTATATGCAGGATTTTTTTTGATAAAGTATTAAAAAGTTCTATGACTACATTCATGAGATATTCTTTGCTTCTTGATTGTGACTGATTGAATGAACGTATGTCTGTTGTTCTGAAAAAAATGTAAGTATTTTCCTTTGAACTACAGCTGTTGGAAATATTAGCATTTTAAACAACCTGGATCCTAACAAGAGTACTGGCCTAACTAAAAATTACTTCACTCAGGCCTACAGTACTGTAATAGGACTCCTTTAGAAGCATACATAATCTGACAGTGGCATACTCAATTAAAATCCGATGCCATTTTTCCATCTTGTTTTTTAATTGCATTGATTAAGTGGATTTCAACATCCCAAGTGCATGCAAGACTACAATTCTAGAAGTAAAGAGCTTGCACTAAAGATATTTTTATAGCAGGAAGAAATGGATTGCTTCTTAAAACATAAGTTTTTGAGAATAGTTCCTAGATCCTTAGGAAACAGCTGTACAGTATTTTTTTTTTTAAAAAAAGCCTTTGTCCTGCCAGAATGAGGTCACTGACCTTTGCCCTGAATCTTCAGAGTCCTAGTGCCTCTTATTTACATGGAGAAAATGAATTGTAGATCCACCTTAATGGGATGAAGTATTTTTGTATTGATATAACTAAGCAAAATTCTGAATATTTCTGCTTATCTGCACCAATTTTTTACCATATTAGCTATCATTTGGAGTTCTGATCCAAGCACTTGCACATTCACACATTTTCCTAGTTATGCTAATTCATAATTTAAAATGGTTAAAAATAAAACCATAGCTTATTGAAAATAGTTATCTAGGTTCATACCAATTAAGCATGGTTTTTCAATTATTACAATTGGATTCCCAGTCATAACATACTAGACCAAACATGTAGCTTTGTAATCTGTGAACTCAACCATTTATCAAAGATCTGGGAGATTAATTTTGTCCTTTTTAATATATACAATAAATAAATAATAAATAATATAAATAATTTAATAAATAATATAATTAATTAATACAATAAATTAACCTTGAGTGATATTGATTATGTGCCATCAAGTTAGTGTAGACTTGATGACTACGTGTATCAATTTTCTCCTGATTGGTGCTAGTTACCTGGACGTTAATCTACTCATTTATCTTGATTTACTCTCAGATTAGCATGAGTGGGAAGAAAAATTAACCATGCTATTCCACTACAAATTCCATCCAACCACCCAAGCAATTGGTTTCAATTAGCGATGATAAAATAAGTCACTTTAAGTGTACTTTCATTTCACTTAAATTACAGTATTAATTTAGTTGGTTATAATTTGAAGCTGGAGGACAGAGCTATCTAGTGACATAAAGTTTCAATTTAAGTGAGAAAATACACTTTGGCAAGATTGCTTTGAAATTAAGTGTAATTTGAAAAAGACTCAGCTATGCACAGTAGGGGGAGGGAGTGCATTTGCTAAAATAAATTAATAGTTGTTTTTTTAAAATTGAAGCACTTAGGGCTCTTCACATGATGTTGAAGTGTAGCATTTTCATCACTGAATTTACTGACTGGGATTGCTGGGAGTTGTAGTTTAGCCTCTGGAGGCCATAGATTCCTATTTCTCTTTTAAGCAGTTCAGAGTGGCTTTGTCTGCTCAAGGCAAAAAGGTTGCCATTTAAAAGGCAAGGTTGCTGGCTAAGGATCTTGAAAAGTGCAATGGTGGTGAATGGGGAAAGTACTGCAATAATGGTGCAAGTAAAAAGGCAGTGGTTTTATTTATTTTATCCACAACCTGAATAAATATCCCCTAAGGTTGCTACTTGTTTTATACACACACACACACACACACATACACACACACACGTGTGTGTGTGTATGTATGTATGTATGTGTATATATATATATATATATATATATATATATATATATATATATATATATACGATTAAAAAGGTTAAAAATGTGAACCCTAGGGATATTCATAATAAAATATAAAAATGAACACTAGGGTAATAAAAACTAAAGAAGTTTTTAATGGGTTAAAACTATAAAAGTTTTAAAAAGCGCCAAGCTTTCGCCGTCACCTGCCGGCATCCTCAGGGCTGGCGTGCCAGAGAATGAGAAGGTCTTTTTATAGGCGTGCCGAGGTTTGCACTCGGCTCCTTGATCTTGTTATGGGGCCTGATTGGTTCAGCCGTGTGTAGTTGGCCTGCGCTTTTTTTCTCTTCTTAGTTGTATTTTTATCCTCGTCCGTCTCCCAACCTCAGATTCATTGGCAATCTGAGGTTGGGAGAACTGGAGACGGACGAGGATAAAAATACAACTAAGAAGAGAAAAAAAGCGCAGGCCAACTACACACGGCTGAACCAATCAGGCCCCATAACAAGATCAAGGAGCCGAGTGCAAACCTCGGCACGCCTATAAAAAGACCTTCTCATTCTCTGGCACGCCAGCCCTGAGGATGCCGGCAGGTGACGGCGAAAGCTTGGCGCTTTTTAAAACTTTTATAGTTTTAACCCATTAAAAACTTCTTTAGTTTTTATTACCCTAGTGTTCATTTTTATATTTTATTATATATATATATATATACACACACACACACACATATAATGTTCTTACATTATAATCTCCGTTAAACTAGTATTTAATAATGTTTGCATTTTAATTACTGGGGTTTTTTTGCTTTTTTTTTTTTTTGCCTTTAGCTCTAATGAATACACCAGTGACGATGGCATGCTGGAGTTGTGGTTTTGTCTAATTTAAATTTCAATGGATTCAATGAAATCTAACTCTTTTTGCTTAGTCAGCAAGGCTATTATTTCATTCCACCTCATTTGTCAGGCTGAGACCCATTGTAAAATCATTACTTATGAACAATGGGATGTGGTTGGCAGTATCACCTCCAGGTTCCCTTAGGAATTGCCTCTTAATCTATCAGTTGTTTAATTTTACCATTATTTCCATGTGTTTCCCTGACCTGACTTAAGTTGGAATATTTTTACTTTGTTTTTGCCCCTTAAGAACCCATTTTTTTGTCCCTACCTCCTATTTGACCAATAGATCCATAGCTGCATAACAGGCCCATATGGGATAAGACATCCATTATATGTCCCAAATCTCCACTATTGTAGGCTGCAAGTGATTTCGGTCCTTTGCAAGGTACTCTGGAAAGCTCCTCAAGATCCTCAGCAGTAATTGGTTGGAATTCAAATCCTCTAAGAATTAATTTATAAAATCTTTGGATCTGATCCCAAGGATGATTTGAAGAATGGATACATCAGACATCTACCACTGTAGGGTAAACTGAAAAAAAGTCAAAGAAGTCAATACAAATCACTTCTACATAAGTTGTATGATTTGCTACTTCTGGGACTTCAATTTCCATTAAGTAAGTTTTAGTTAGTAAGTATTTTAAAAAAACTCTGAATGGACTTTGCCTTGTTTTTCAGCTGGGAACTAGAAGTGATTAGTTTTCCTAGTTTTGCTCATGTGTTGGATCACTGTATATACACTTCACTGTGGATCTAAAAAGATAAAAGGAGGTTTTGAAATTCATCTTGTAAGCTAATATAAATGAAGAACATCTGCAGTTTTATATGTGTTTTATAATAACAGTACTCTGGCACAGCCTGTGATACAGGCACATCTCCTTTATTACCACATTTTTTCCCCTTGAGATAATAGAAGCCAGTTGGTGAATATTAGAACAGAACTGGTGGTGAATATTGCTACTCAGTGTGGGGGAGATCATCAAGCTGGCAGATTTTTAGACCACTACGGGCAGGCCTTATTCCTCTTAATTAAACATGTCTTTCAAGATTGCTTCAAGGAAAAGAATTATTAAAGTGCTTTCGAACCAGAAAAATACTACAGAAACTGTAAATGTACAGCTATGGATATTTCCTATTTCTTTCCACCAAGTTCTCTTCAATTTAAATGTGAAGGGTTTCTTTCTCCCCCCCCCCTTTAAGTGGGCTAGAGATATGGTAGTAGTGCAGTCTCAGTCAAAAGCTGCAGTCTTACGCATGCTTATCCATGAGAAACATAACAGATATGATCCTAGCTGTGTGCTTTTTTGTTCAGAAGAAAATGTCTCTTGATAGCACAGTGTCACCAGTATGGTAGGCCATAATTTCTCATGAATTCAGTCCTTTCTTAGTTATAGTTTGATAAAGTTTGGTGTGTAGTTTGATGGAGCCAGTTGGGTGTAGCGGTTAAGGTGCTGATCTAGAAACCAGGAGATTGGGAGTTCTAGTCTTGCTTTAGGCATGAAAGCTGACTTAGGAGATTTTGGACCAGTCACTTTCTCTTAGTTCAACCTACCTTACAGTGTTGTTGTTGTGGAGAAAATAAGAGGAGTATTACTGGTATGTATGTTTGCCACCTTGGAGTTACTCCTAAAGTAATAAAAGTAGGATAAAAATCAACAAAATAAGTACATACCAGAATCTAAGATACCCACGTAGTTTTTATCATCATGGTGCTTTTCTGTCTTGTAAAGGTAAAGATTTCCCCTGTCCGGTTGTGTCTGACTCTTGGGGGCAGTGCTCATCTCTGTTTCTTAGTCGAGGGACCTAGCATTGTCCAAAGACATTTCCAAAATCGTGGCCAGCATGGCTATACGCTGAGATGCACGGAATGCTGTTACCTTCCCACTGAAGTGGTACCTATTTATCTACTGTACTCGCATTTTGCATGCTTTCGAACTGCTTAGTTGGGCGGGATCCATTATAAAAATATGCAGGTTTTTCTCCCAAAATGACCGATCCAGAATAAAAGAGGGGTGTGCCCACATAGAATCCTCTTTCTGCTAATCCAAAACAAACAAACAATCAAGAAAACCCACCACCCAGAGCATCAGTGTGGCCATCCCAAGGAATGTTGCTGAGGTGGAAACTACAAGGTAATCTGCAATACTAATTTGTGTGAGGGGGTCTGCAATGCTAATTTGCGTGCATCACCATGCATCACTTCAGCACACTCATTGCATTTTCCTTGTGGATGTGTTGAGTGCTTAGAGTCACATTCCATGACATTTAGAAGGTGGCATAAATCAAGAGAACATCTTGGTT